TAAAATTTGCAATGGCAATATGTACATATCTATCAATAATCACCCTAAAATGGTATTATCTGAGCGTTGGGACTGCTCATTGCTGCTGGGTTGTCATTGCTTTTAAGCATTTTCAGGAAATAAACAATTACAGGGTTTTTACTTTTTTTTTCTATTTGTATGGTTCATCTCTTACATGGAAAGTGTTGGGTCTTAACACATTAACATAGTCATTTGCTCTATAATATCCATAGAATAGCTTCAAAATGAAACCAAGGTTTTTACTAATCATTACAGTATTAAATGAAATTTAAATTTTGCCTTTTTGTCCTTATAATACATATTTTTACGAATAAATACAGTCAAAGTATTGTGCTTAAAAAAACTTTAAAATCATTATTTTCTTTGTGTGATTATATCACCAACTTGATATATGGTTAAGTTTACTTGTTTTACAACAGTCCTCTTGGTACTTTGTCAGGCAATGTTCTTTGTTTATTTCTTAGGCATCTTTACAAAATACTCTTCTTCAAGCTGTAATGAGAATTTAAGTTAAAAGAAGAAATGGGAAGAAATACAGTTCTGGGACCTTATCTTCCAACTTATATGCATTATTTAATCGTTCACCATAGATTTCACAGCAATTCGTCCAGGATTCCCCAAATAAGCTGTTCCCTGACAAAACTTCTTAATCATTGCCTCAATTTAGGTAATCCTGGTCATGTCGTGAATACTGAAGCCTTTATGTCTCCAGGCTCTTGTTTGTCCTTTAATACCAAAGCCTGCTGATGTATTAATACATCATCCAATGTCATTAAAAGTCATATTTACAGAAATGAAACATTCATGATTAAAAAAGGAAATCCTAGGCAGAAGCTCCCTTTGAGGTCAATTTTTTTTACATGAAATATCCCAGCTAATTTTTTGTTTCAGTAAAAAGAACACACACAAACACACCTTTCTTCCTTATGTATACTGTTAGACAGACTGAATCATTGATAATGTGTAAAACATTATATGGCTGTTGTGGGACAAGCACATTTAAACCGAAAGTACAAGAACTCAGTTGAAGAGTAGGATGGAATTGGTTTTATATAACTTAATAGTTACCAACAATGAGACTGTAATCAAACTTCCTAAACCTTTTATGGACTTGATTTCCTTAACTGTAAAGGGAGTGTAATAATACATACTTATAGAGTTAATAAATTAGCCCCAAATGTACAGTGGCTAGCACAGTATATGGCACACAAAAGAGGTTTAATCACTATCTTCATTCTCTCAACCAAAAAAAGCTCTCAAGACAAGCAGAATCAGTAGACAGTCGGTTGATCTAGAAGATGATCGTGAGTACAGTCCTACTTCCACCCTTGATTCTTAGGTCATTTTGTGTCATTTGGCTCTCCTTCGAAGGAGCAACAAACTGAGTTGTTATGTATTGCGTCAGTTGGCCAGGAAACCAAAGTGTTAGCGGTCTTTTTATTCCTGTTAATTTGCATAAGGCATAGACGTAATATAAAAAAGTGGCTCTCCTAATCAAGGGTTCTCCTATCAGCTCTCTGACAGGATATCTTGAGGGTGGTTTCTAGACGATTCCTGAATAATTTTCCATGGTCACTCAAGATAAGCTACAAGTTTCATCCCCCTCTTTGGAGATCTTTTACTCCACTTGAAAAGGCATATTCTTATCCAGAGTAAAATGAAACACAACACTCTTAATTCTAGTTCTAAATTTCAACTTGGTACTGAGACATCTGTTGGGAGCAATGCTTTCCTTTGGATTGGTGCTCACTTTTTTCCCTTGTTAAACAAGCATTTTTGTCATTTGGTAAGCTGTTAAAAAAGTCAGGGAAGAGAGCACTCAAACTTTTTACTGTAACAAAAAGTATTGCTCTTAAATTAATATGATAGCAAGTTTTAAAGAGTTGTTCTCCACAGAGTATATGTTCCAAAAGATTTTTTTCTTATTAAGATATCATTGATATATAATCTTATGAAGGTTTCACATGAGCAATATTGTGGTTACTACATTCACCCATATTACCAAGTCTCCCCTCCCCCATTTCAGTCACTGTCCATCAGTGTAGTAAGATGCTAGAGTCACTACCTGTCTTCTCTGTGCTATACTGCCTTCCCCGTGACCCTCCCTATATTATGTGTGCTAATCATAATACCCCTCAATTCCCATCTCCCTCCCTCCCCGCCCACCTCCCCCACCCCTCCCATTTGGTTACCGCTAGTCCCTCTTGGAGTCTGTGAGTCTGCTGCTGTTTTGTTCTTTTAGTTTTGCTTCATTGTTATACTCCACAAATGAGTGAACTCATTGGGTACTTGTCTTTCTCTGCCTGGCGTATTTCACTGAGCATAATACCCACAAACCCCATTCATGTTGTTGCAAATGGTAGGATTTGTTTTCTTCTTATGGCTGAATAATGTTCCACTGTATATATACATCANTCTTTTCTTTTTTTTTTACATTTCACCTTTTCTTTATCCATTTATCTACTGATGGACACTTAGGTTGCTTCCATATCTTAGCTATTGTAAATAAAATAAACATAGGGGTGCATATGTGTTTTTGAATCTGGGATCTTGTTTTATTTGGGTAAATTTCTAGGAGTGGAATTCCTGGGTCAAATGGTATTTTCATTTCTATTTTTTGAGGAACCTCCATATTGCTTTCCATAATGGTTGAACTAATTTACAGTCCCACCAGCAGTGTAGGAGGGTGCCCCTGTTCCACATCCTTGCCAGCATTTGTTTTTCTTCTCTTTTGGATGTTGTCCATCCTAACTGGTGTGAAGTGATATCTCATTGTGTTTTAATTTGCATTTCCCCGACAGTTAATGATGTGGAGCATATTTTCATGTGCCTCTGGCCATCAGAATTTCTTCATTGGAAAAGTGTGCAGGTCCTCTGCCCATTTTTAAATCAGATTATTTGCTTTCTGGGTGTTGAGGCATGTGAGTTCCTTATATATTCTGGACGTTAACCCCTTATCAGAGATGCATTTACAAATATTCTCCCATACTGTAGGATGCCTTTTTGTCCTGCTGTCCTTTGCTGTACAGAAGCTTTTTAGCTTGATGTAGCCCTATTTGTTCAGTTTTGCCTTTGTTTCCCTTGCCCAAGGAGATGCGTTCAGGAAGACGTTGCTCATGTTTATAGTTTATATTCAAGAGATTTTTGGCTATGCTTTCTTCTAAGAGTTTTATGGTTTCATGACTTACATTCAGTTCTTTGATTCATTTTGTTTACTTTTGGGTATGGAGTTAGACAATAAACCAGTTTCATTCTCTTACATGTAGCTGTTCAGTTTTGCCAACACCAGTTGTTGAGGAGGCTGTCATTAGCCATTGTATATCCATGGCCATTAACATTGTATATTAATTGGCCATATATGTGTGGGTTTATATCTGGGCTCTCTAGACTATTCCATTGATCTATGGGCGTGTTCTTGTGCCAGTCCCAAATTGTCTATTACTGTGGCTTTGTAGTAGAGCTTGAAGTCAGGGAGTGTAATACCCCCAGCTTTATTCCTTCTCAGGATTGCTTTGGCTATTTGGGGTCTTTTGTGGTTCCATATGAATTTTAGAACAATTCCAGTTCTTTGAAGAATGCTGTTGGTATTTTGATAAGGGATTGCATTGAATCTATAGATTGCTTTAGGCAAGATGGCCATTTTGACAATATTAATTCTTCCTATCCATGAGCTCAGGATGTATTTCCATTTATTGGTGTCTTCTTTAATTTCTCTTATGAGTGTCTTGTAGTTTTCAGGGTATAGGTCTTTCACCTCCTTGGTTAGGTTTATTCCTAGATATTTTATTCTTTTTCATGCAATTGTGAATGGAATTATTTTCCTGATTTCTCTTTCTGTTAGTTCATCATTAGTGTGTAGGAATACAACAGATTTCTGTGTATTAATTTTGTATTCTGCCACTTTGCTAAATTCAGATATTAGTTCTAGTAGTTTTAGAGTGGATTCTTTAGGGTTTTTTTATGTACAATATCTTGTTATCTGCAAACAGTGACAGTTTAACTTCTTCCTTACCAATCTGGATGCCTTTTATTTTTTTGTGTTGTCTGATTCCCATGGTAGGACCTCTGGAACTATGTTGAATAAAAGTGGGGAGTGTGGGCATTCTCGTCTTGTTCCTGATCTTAAAGGAAAAGCTCTCTTGTTGTTAAGTATGTTGCTGGCTGTAGGTTTGTCATATATGGCTTTTATTATGTTGAGGTACTTGCCATCTATACCCATTTTGTTGAGAATTTTTATCATGAATGGGTGTTGAATTTTGTTGTATGCTTCTTCAGCATCTATGAGGATGATCATGTGGTTTTTTTCCTACTTTTGTTGATGTGGTGGATGATTTTGATGGATTTTCTAATATTGTACCATCCTTGCAACCCTGGAATAAATCCCACTTTCATAATGGATGATCCTCTTCATGTATTTTTGAATTTGGTTTGCTAATATTTTGTTGAGTATTTTTGCATCTATGTTCATCAGGGATATTGGTCTGTAATTTTCTTTTTTGTGGTGTCTTTTCCTGGTTTTGGTATTAGAGTGATGCTGGCCTCATAGAATGAGTTTGGAAGTGTTACTTCCTCTTCTTTTTCTTTTTTTAAAGGAAAACATTATTTATTAAGTTGCTCCATTAAGCCTAAGTCCTTGAATCCCAGCACTGTTCCAGAATCTAGGTGTGGACCTGGTCTAGAGCCACCCATTGGAGATGTTTCTCAGGAAGCAAGAGGCATTTAATTGCAGAGCCTCAAGAACAATCTATACATCCCCCTCTATCCTAAGGGATGACCTTGTTTACAAAGTTGAGAAGTCTAAAATTGGAAACTGGAGACGTGGTAAACTGTTTTTCCAGGTTTAATCTTGTCCTTAATAGTTTTTCCCACACTTATAGTTTTTGCTTGAGGGATGAGGTCTTTCCTTAGTTGTACTTGAACTAATCTGAGGATTTTATATGTCCCTGCCCTGGTTGGTCTCCAAGGCACTCTGCCAGTTTTTATTGTGGTTTCCCTGTTTTGTAAACAAGGCAAACCTTCCCACTCCCATTGCAAGGATTCAGCTCAAGTATCACACTGTGAGAATCAAAGTGAGGCTTCTCTGGTTGGTTTTCATTGGCTTCATGCTCATCATCTCCAGGTCTGCCACAGTTGGTTCATTAGGGAGTGAATACATGGAAGACTGGCTGAGTTGAGTCAGTTTTGCAATGCTGTTAATTGCCATGATTCCCAATGGAATTGTTTTTGTCCAGCTTCACACTCCATGTCATGTGGAAGCCATTGGTCATCAGGTAAAAGTTTTTCACATCCTCAGGTAGCATGCAGTTATTTTTTTGTTCCCATGAAGAAATCATATGATGTTCAGCAGGTGGCTTCTCAATGATGGTTACCTCTGTCAGACCTGGAGAAGATTCGAGAATGTGGGTGATCCCCAGGGTCAGCTTCTCCAGGTACGGCTTGCTTCTGCCCAGTGGCAGGGGCAGCATCTCCTCCATGGCTTGCATCCCTACTCTTCTACTTTTTGGAAAACTTTAAGAGGATGGGTATTAGGTCTTCACTAAATGTTTGATAAAATTCAGCAGTGAAACTATCTGGTCCAGGAGTTTTGTTCTCAGGTAATTTTTTGATTACCAATTCAATTTCACGGCCTGTAATTGGTCTGTTCAGATTTTCTGTTTCTTCCTGGGTCAGTCTTGGAAGATTGTGTTTTCTAGAAAGTTGTCCATTTCTTCCAGGTTATCCAGTTTGTTTGCATACAACTTTTCATAGTATTCTCTAATAATTCTTTGTATTTCTGTGGTGTCTGTAGTGATTTTTCCTTTTTCATTTCTGATTCTGTTTATGTGTGTAGACTCTCTTTTTTTCTTGATAAGATTTGTATTTCTGTGGTGTCTGTAGTGATTTTTCCTTTTTCATTTCTGATTCTGTTTATGTGTGTAGACTCTCTTTTTTTCTTGATAAGTCTGGCTTGGAGTTTATTTATTTTGTTTATTTTCTTGAAGAACCAGATCCTTATTTCATTGATTCTATCTTTTTATTTTTCTCAATTTTATTTATATCTGCTCTGATTTTTATTATATGCCTCCTTCTACTGACTTTGGGCCTCATTTGTTCTTTTTCTAGTTTCATTAACTATGAGTTTAGGCTGTTCATTTGGGATTGTTCTTCTTTCTTTGAGGTAGGCCTGTATTGCAATATACTTCCCTCTTAAAATGGCCTTTGCTACATCCCATTGATTTTGGGGTGTTGAGTTTTTTTTTTTTTTTTGTCTCCATATATTGCCTGAGCTCTGTTTTAATTTGGTCATTAATCCATTGATTATTTAGGAGCATGTTGTTAAGCTTCCATGCATTTGTGAGCTTTTTTTGCTTTCTTTGCATAATTTATTTCTAGTTTCATACCCTTCTGGTCTAAGAAGGTGGTTGGTACAATTTCAATCCTTTTGAATTTATGGAGGCTCTTTGTCTCTTGTTACTTTCTTTGTTTTGAAGTCTATTTTGTCTGACCTCAACTAAAGTACTGCAACTCCTGCTTTTTTCTCCCCATTATTTGCATGAGATAGCTTTTCCATCCCTTTACTTCTAGTCTGTGTATGTCTTTGGGTTTGAAGTGGGTCTCTTGTAGACAGCATATAGATGGGTCCTGTGTTCTTATCCATTTTGTAACTCTTTGTCTTTTGATTTGTACATTCAGACCATTTACATTTAGGGTGATTATCAATAGGCATGTACTTATTGTCATCATAGGCTTTAGATTCATGTTACCAAAGGTTCAAAAACAGCTTCTTTACTGTCTAACAGTCTAACTTAACTTGCTTCTTATGCTATTTCTACACAATCTAATGGGTTTTTCCCCTCCCTTATTTTTCTTCCTTCTCCACTCTTTATATATTAGGTTTCATATCCTGTACTCTTTGTGTATCCCTTGACTGACTTTGTGGGTAGCTGATTTAATTTTGCATTGGCTTAGTGATTAATTGGTCTACTTCCTTTACTGTGGCTTTGTTTTCTCTGGCGACAGCTATTTAGCCTTAGGAGCACTTCAATCTATAGCAGTCCCTTTAAAATACATGGTAGAGACAGTTTGTGGAATGTAAGTTTGCTCAAATATTGCTTATCTGGATATTGCATAATCCCTGCTTTAAATTTAAATGATAATCTTCCCTGGTTGAGTATTCTTGGTTGGACGCCCTTCTGTTTCATTGTATTAAATGTATCATGCCACTCCCTTCTGGCCTCTAAGGTTTCTGCTGAGAAGTCTGCTGATGGCCTGATGGGTTTTCCTTCCTGTGTGATTTTTTTTTTCTCTCTCTGTTGCTTTTAATACTGTGTCCTTGTCCTTGACCTTTGCTATTTTAATTATTATATGTCTTGGTGTTGTCCTCCTTGGGTCCCTTGTGTTGGGAGATCTGTGCACTTCCATGACCTGAGAGGCTATTTCTTTCCCCAGATTGGGGAAGTTTTCAGCAATTATTTCCTCACAGAGAATTTCTTTCCCTTTTTCTTTCTTTTTCTTCTGGTACCCCTATAATGCAAATACTGGTCCATGTGGATTGGTCACACAGTTCTCTTATGATTCTTTCATTCCTAGAGATCCTTTTTTCTCTCTTTGCCTCAGCTTCCTTGAATTCCTTTTCTCTAATTTCTATTTCATTTACCTTCTCCTCTACCTCATCTAATCTGCTCTTAAATCCCTCCATTGTACGTTTCACTTCAGTTACTGTATTTTTCAAATTTCCTCTTTCTTGAAGTCCTCCGAGATCTTGAATATTTTTCTGTAGCTCTGTGAGCACATGTATGACTTTTATTTTGAAATCTTATTGTGAAATGGTGCCATCCAGAGGGAAGGAACAGCAGGCTGCGTATTACAGTGGGGGGCTTCATTGCTGCATTGCCAGCCAAGGGGATGGAGTGCCAGGAGCTCCTGAAAACTCCTAACCTGCTGGGCTGAGTGTGGTGGGATGATTTTGTCCACCTGTGCTTTCTCCTGAGCAGAAAGCTCTGTGTAATCCTTACCCCCTTGCAGCCCTCTTACTATTGGGAAGTCTTTCAAAGTGCCTGCCTTTCTTTTGTCCCGGAATAGCTGGTTGTGGGGACCTGTTCTCCACAAATGACTGGAATCTCAGTTTCTCTCAGTATTCTGCTTGTCTTTGCTTTCCAACTCCACTAATCTCCAGTGTACCATGTAATGTAGGTTCGTGCCCGAGAGCAAATCTCTAGGGGTGGGTGTTTAGCAGTCCTGGGCTTCTCCTCCCTTCCCACTCCATTTCTCTTCCTCCTGCCTGTGAGCTGGGGTTGGGGAAGGGCTTGGGTCCTGCTGGATTGTGGCTTTGTTACTTTACCCTTTTCCATGAGGTCCTCTTTTCCCCAAATGTAGGTCATCTGTTGCACTTTTCTTTCCAGTTGCTCTTTCAGGATTAGTTGTATTTGCTGTATTATCATGTTATATGTGGTTTTGGGAGGAGGTTTCTGCCTCACTTCTCATGCTGCCATCTTTTTCCACCTCCCACATTCCATAAGATTTTAATGTGCATATGTGAAAAAGTATGTACACATTTGGTAATTCTGGGTTTTTAAAACTACAGGCAAGAGGAACATTGGACCAATGTATCCTTTATATACATTAACAGTTTTCACAATATAAAATCTTTCCTTTGGCTATTGCAACCATTGTTTGTAAGAAATAGAAACCCAGTTCAATTGAAACAGAAACCAATTTAAACAGAAAAAAAGTTCTTGGTGGAACACAGGGTTATCCAAGAGTCCAAGGTTAGAAGATATACAGGGCTTTAGGAGGACTAGATTGGAACTGTAAAGTTAGAACTTGTGATTAAAGGACCATATTGTTTATTACCTGCCCATTTTCCTGCCTGCCTGTTTTACTTGTCTTTCTTTCTTTTGTGGAGCTTTATTTCTCTTCTGTCCATAAAGTGTCTGACATGGCCCTGATTCTATGTTCTCCTTTAAGCGGTCAATAGTATTTATTGCTATGTCCTAATTCTAACTCTTCCAGAAAAAGAGAATCTTGATTGGCTATCTTGGATCAGGTTTTCACCCACCCCCTAGTTCAATCTGCTGTGGCTGGTGGAGTTCATGTGCTATTAACAGGGAGTCTTAAGCCCACCCCTCAGTAGGATGAAGACAATGCTCTTTCTCAGAATGAAGGGGCCATTGGAGAAGTAAATACCACCAAAGTAGTTATTAGATATTGCTTTTTTGTAAGAATCTCCTTAGAAAGAAGTGCAGCCTTGATTGTAGTAGTTCATATATTGACAATAGTAAATTAATTAAGAATCTATTTGTGAATCTATTGTGACTATTGTGTTAGGCATTATAACTATTTACCAATATCTAATTCTCCTCTACTTCTGGGTACAAGGATTCCCTGCCTCTTGAAATGAGATGAGGCCATGTGACTTAATTTGGCCAGGAAATGTCATTTGGCAATGGGCGCTTAGAGATTGAAGCAGCCTGAAAGTGCCAAGCCAACTCACGGACAGCTGGCAGATCTCAAGTGGACTTAATATTATAGAAATACTTTTATTCTGTTAAATGTCTGTAATTTTAGAGTTGTCTATTACAGTATTAGAATCTAGCCTATCCTGACTAGTACGAATAGTCTTTGAAATGTACAAAACAGGTTCCAAAACATAATGAAAGTGAAATGTTATGCTGAGCTGGTGTTAGTACAGAAGGCCCTGAGTTTGGTGATCTAGACCTTTGCACAAGACTCCCCAATCTCCAGTTCAACTGATGGGACCCTTGTGTCACATTTTGGTGACTAGTTTTCCCTTTCCATGACTGGAATTTTATGTATCATGGAAAGGTTGATAAAAATATTATTTTCATATGCTATTTTAGAACACCATTAATTGTTAGAAGATGATCAATTTTCTTTATTTTTTTCTCAGTAAACTAGGTGTGCCACCATTTGTTACATTACAGTTATACATGCTGTATCAAATGACCACCAATGCTGCTTGCTTCTTTTGGAATTAACATACTGTTCTCGAGCTGTTCTCTTAAAAAAAAAATAGTTTAGGAAGTGTTGTAGATACAGCAAGTATCCTTTTCTTATACAATCTGATTGTGCTCAGATACCTATCCATATCCCACATGGCCATGTGTCTCAGAGGTATCTCTCCTCCAGCCCCAGTGGCTTAAGGGGAACCCTATTTTCCAGTCATTGTTTTGTTCAGGTACAGACATGAGACCCACTTTTGCTCAGTGGAAGAAGTCTGCTAGAGGGTTTCTGAAATGTTTCATTTTTTAAGAGAGCTAGGAGAGGAGATGGTTTCCACCCCCCCAATTCTCCCACCGCCTTCCCCACCAAATACTGTCATTTCTGGATGTGCTGCCTGGAACTGCAACAGCGGTCTTTTTGCTGTTAGCCTGAGGAGGAAACCAGAGGAAGTTGGGAGAGGACAGAGAGCCCTGATATGGAGAGAACTGGGATCCTTGGAAATAGTGTTGAACGTATAGAATCCATAATCCTG